CCCAAATTCCCAATTCCTGACCCCAAATTCCCAAATTCCCAATCCCAGCCCCCCAAATTCCCAATCCCACCCCCCCAAACCGGGTGACGCCCCCTCCCCGCAGGGACCACCCCCTCCCCGACTTCCGGGTGACGCTGGGGGTGCTGCGGCTCCTGGCCCCTCCCCCCGACGCCCAGGTGAGGGGCGTGGCCTCGGTGACGCGCCACCCGGCCTATCGCGACGGAGGGGGAGGGGGAGGGGACCTGGCGCTGGCCCGGCTGGACCCCCCCGCCCGGAGCTCGCGCTTGGTGCGGCCCGTCTGCGTCCCCCCCCCCGGGGAATGGTTCGGGCCGGGGACGAACTGCACCGTCACCGGCTGGGGACACGTCAGGACGGCCGGTGAGGGGCGTGTCATGACATATCGCGATATATCGGGGGGTATCGGGGGATATGGGGGGGTATCGGGGTCACTGGGGTCCCCGGGGACACGTCAGGACAGCCGGTGAGGGGCGTGTCATGACATATCGCGATATATCGGGGGGTATCGGGGGATATGGGGGGGTATCGGGGTCACTGGGGTCCCCGGGGACACGTCAGGACAGCCGGTGAGGGGCGTGTCATGACATATCGCGATATATCGGGGGGTATCGGGGGATATGGGGGGGTATCGGGGTCACTGGGGTCCCCGGGGACACGTCAGGACAGCCGGTGAGGGGCGTGTCATGACATATCGCGATATATCGGGGGGTATCGGGGGATATGGGGGGGTATCGGGGTCACTGGGGTCCCCGGGGACACGTCAGGACAGCCGGTGAGGGGCGTGTCATGACATATCGCGATATATCGGGGGGTATTGGGGGGTATCGCGATATATCAGGGACGTATCGTGATATATTGCGATATATCGGGGTCACTGGGGTCACTGGGGACACGTCAGGACAGCCAGTGAGGGGCGTGTCGCGACATGTCGCGATATATCGGGGGATATCGTGATATATCGGGATATATCAGGGGGTATCGGGGGATATTGGGGGGTATCGGGGTCACTGGGGTCACCGGGGACACGTCAGGACGGCCGGTGAGGGGCGTGTCGCGACATGTCGCGATATATCGGGGATGTATCGTGATATATCGGGGGATATCGCGATATATCGGGGGGTATCGGGGGATATCGCGATATATCGGGGTCATTGGGGTCACCGGGGACACGTCAGGACGGCCGGTGAGGGGCGTGTCGCGACATGTCGCGATATATCGGGGGATATCGTGATATATCGGGGACGTATCGTGATATATCATGATATATCGGGGGATATCGTGACATATCGCGATATATCGGGGGTATCGGGGACGTATCGTGACATATCACGATATATCGGGGGGTATCGGGGTCAC